ATCACCTCTGATTGGCCATTGCGTTCCAGAAATCAACAACTGAGTCTGTGATTGGCTACATTGCGCAACCCTTTAATCACGTGTAATAAATAGAAAAACTGCCTAGCTTGCGCGTGTTAATCATTTTAATGTTATTAGTTGTTCTTTTTGCTTTTGTGCAACACATAAATAACAATTTATATGTTTTAGACATTTTATGTTTAGATAATTTCTATTTTGCGGGAGTCCCGCGAATCATTTTATTCTCCCGCATCCCGCACACACACACACACACACACACACACACACGAGTCTCTTCCCGCCCGCACCCGCACTCGCCCATCAAGAGTTGTCCCGCGCCGCACTCTGTTGCGTTGGGTTCCGCGGGAGTGCAGGTCTCTACTTCAAGCCTTCTTTAGATATATTTCTCATGTCTGTGTGTCAAGTATTTGCTAAGTTTTTGTTTTTTTAATGACGCGTTTCAGGAAGATATTCATGGAGACTGAGACTGCAGAAAGCACACCCTATTTGTTACAAGACAATTGTACAAATTGTACGTTATAAAGAACAATGTTTTGTTGATATTGTGAGTGTAGAAATAAAAGTAGAGCTTTTACAGTTTCAAATGATGTATTACTCATATCTGTACGATCAAAAATTACGAAAACAAGTTATGAAACAAGTTCTTTTCGCAGTTATCAGGAAAAAATGCAAGTGATCGTTCAAGTTATTGTTTTGATGCTTATGTAATTTTTCAGTCAATATTAAATTACTGAAGGAACTATGAGTTTCAATTTGTAGTGTATTTTTTAGGTTTGATTACTTTTTAAATGCAGTAATCAGTAATGTAAACAAATTACAAGAAGTAATTAATAATTTGTAGTGGATTACTTTTTTGAGTAACTTGCGCAACACTGCTTATGAGACATGTAAACGCACCCGAAACAGTAGAGTGTGGGAAAGTTTTACAAAACTACGAACAAATATATTGTCCTGTGTAAAGCCCCGGATGTACTCGTGGCGAAGTTCTTTTCCGTTCTTCAGTTAGAGGTAAAAAGAAGTTCAATATAAGCAAGCAACGTTGTGTGGTCAGCAAACATTACGACTCTGCTAAGAGTGACGTTTAGATGCTTTCCTCTCAATAACAAAATAAACACAACAAACATGACAGCAGTGAGAAAACAGCAGTTAAGAAAGCATCTGATCATAGCAATATGAATCTTTGCACCAGCTCCAGTAAGTCACGTCACATTTGTAATAGAGCGTTATACAATAACTAGACTGCTAAAAAGCAAGCAACTTTACAGTATTAACCATGAAAAAATTATGCCATTGTCACTTTCAGTTAGAATTACACCCGCTCCATGTATATATATATATATATGTGTAGAATGTGAACTCTATATTTTAATGAATTGCTACTGATTACGAAAGTCGAAAGTTTATTGATTAATCAGTGCAATAATCAATTTGTTTATTATTCATTCTAATAATCATTAGATTAATTGATTTTCAAAATAACTGTTTGTTGAAGCCCTAGGGTTAACTAATTGGTCTTAGTTTGAGCGAGACGTTCGGTAGCATCCATGCCTCTTTTTCTTTTACAGATGATCCGAAGAGGAGCTCTGGGATAAATAAGAGACTCTACTTAACTGGTCACCAAAATAGAACGACATAATTCAGTATCGATTGAGTCCCCAGGGTCTGAAATGAAGAGAGCCTCTGTGTTATTACTGTACAAAGAGTTCAGACACCTCAGACATTGATCAGAGCGTCCTGTCATCTGGGGAAAATCAGCGGCAGTTTATCTTATTCGGTGCAATTAATTTCAGTGTCGACTGCATTAGGTAATACTGGCGTGTGGCGCCATCGATCTTGATATTTGACACAGTTATTTTCCAGCACAAATAAAGGAAGTCTTCAAATCAAAGCAAGTCCAACACTCAGGGAAAAACTCACAGCCAGAACGCGAGAGTGCCGTTCGATGGAATAATGTGCTCATGTATTATTGACAATGGCAACGAAGGAGCTTTTAGAGGTCGACAAGTCATCAGTGACATCAGGGTTTGTGTTTATGTGCGCTTGCTGCATATTTATTCATCCAAAACACAATCCAATACTCATCCATCCAGTGGACAATATAATGTGTGTATAATTAGAAAAGTCTGACTTGTATTTGCGCCGCAATAGCATTCGGTGCAGTGCTTCAGTTAGAAAAATAGGCATGTGTTTATCAAATATTTATTTATTTTGTAATAATTTCATTTTTACATTTTATTATGTTGTTCTATTTTTTTTTAAGTTGTAATTAGATTTTGTATTGCATACTCCATTAATTTAAATACTATAAAAATGAAAAGGTCTTGATCTTAATAATTTTCTCATTGTAATTGAAAATTGATAGATGCAAACTAAATGGTTATTCATAATAAATGAATGATGAGTCTGTATTTATTTATTTGTTTTATTTTATTTAAATTTTTGCAATTTATTAAATTATTATAATTGTTTTATTAAAAGTACAGTTTGAATTGCCATGTAGTTTGTTAGTTATGCAGGAAATTGTCCAAAAAATTTTTTCTTTCAATAGTCTAAATCATTTTCTCTTTGTATTTAGAACTTGATGGATACTATCTAAATGGTTATTCATAATAAATGACGAGTTATTGTTTGCTTGTTACATTGTAATACATTATTTTATTGTATTATTTTAATACTTTATTAATTAATATGAACTAATAATTATTTGTTTTTAGTTTTGTGTGTGTTTGTGTATGTGTGTGTGTGGTTATTTATGCTGGAAATTGAGCAACAAAGTTTTTGAATAATCTTTTTGTATAATATATCTTTGTATAATCTATTAAATTAAGTACTTTAAAAATGAAAGGTACTTAATTTCAATTATTTTCTCTTTATATTTGGACCTTGATAAATGGAAACCAAACAATTATTCATAATTAGCTTGCATTACATTATGAAACACTTGAGATCAAAACAAAAGACTTGCAATAATAACCCTAAAACTATTATTTTAAACTAGATCTGCTACGGTATAAACACTAAAGCGCTATCACACTAACCAATAACAGGTCATTTGTCTTTTACAGGTGGGAGTCCTGGAGCGCCTGTGGCCCCTTCATCACCCTCTTCTGCCCCGGGGTCCGGCCCCAGCGTGGAGCCCACAGAGCCAGAGTCTACCTCAGTGTCAGGAGGAGAGGACGGCCGCTCCATCACGCCCAACCCGCCTGAACCGGAGGAGAACGACCCCGCAGTCAGTCCAGAGACGGAGGATGAGAAAGCACTGCGTCTGCTCTACTGCTCCCTCTGTAAGGTGGCCGTCAACTCTGCGTCACAGCTAGACGCGCATAACAGTGGTGAGCAGCTTCTCAGAGCGCCTGCACTGAGGCTTTTCTGAATTGAACAGGATCAGGTCTTACTCTGACACATGCAAGACAACAGAACTGAAGTAACATAGCCTTTAAAAAAAAGGGCCTTTTATCATATTGTTGTTGCTGCAATTTTATGAAAGCAATAAGTCACTCTTGTCATGGTAAAAAATGTAAATTACTGCAATGAACAGCTTCTTTATTAGAAACTGTGAGTCAAAGAGTTTAAAAAAGAAATGTAAAAAATCTAAGTACTACTAAAATACTTTAATTCTACAGCAAGATACTGCACCTCGGTTATGATTTTTGGCAAGTTGGACATTTTTCAGGACATTTTTCAGACTAATTAGCTTACATTAACATGATAATTAGCAACACAAACTACAACACACAAGTTTGTCATCAGTATTTTCTTTAAGAAATTAATGTTTTTTATTCAGCAAGGATGCATTAAATTGATCAAATGTTACAGTAAAAACATTTATAATGTTACAAAAGATTTCTGTTTCGAATAAATGTTGTTCTTTTGAACTTTCTATTCATCGGAGAATCCCGAAAATCCTGGTTTCCACAAAAATATGAAGCAGCACAACTGTTTTCAGCATTGATAATAATCAGAAATGTTTCTTGAGCAGCAAATCAGCATATTAGACTGATTTCTGAAGATCATGTGACACTGAAGACTGGAGTAATGATGCTGAAAATTCAGCTGCGCATCACAGGAATAAATTACATTTTAAAATGTGTCCAAATAGGAAGCAGTTATTTTAAATTGTAAAAATATTTCACATTGTTACTGTGTTTTGGTCAAATAAATGGAGCATTGGTGAACAGAAGAAACTTCTTTTAAAAGCATTAGAAATCTTACTGACTGCCTGTTCTGAAACACTTTTTGCTTCAGATAAATGTTGTGATGTGGAGCTGCTTGATTTGGGTTTGGAAATTTGGAACAAAATATGCTTAAGGAGAAAATGAATCATAAAAATACTGAAACCAAAGCTGCAGGTCACAGAAGCTGCTTTTCCTTCACTTTTTGATCCAGCTGATCTGTATCATTTTTTTTTTCAAGTATTAAAGCAAAGACCTTTAGTTTAAGATCAATGAGAACCATAAATTCAGTCACATGTCTCTTTTGACAGTTAGTGTATACTTAGTTCTAATACATATACAGTAATTCACTTTGAAATGTGATGCATCAGCAGCACTAAAGACCCCATCCAGCCCTCACGGTTTTATTTTCTCTGGCGAATGCGTATCATTAAGATGATAAATGTTTTGAACCCGCCATGTTTTGTTCCTCAGGCACCAAACACAAAACCATGCTGGAGGCTCGTAGTGGGATCGGCTCCATCAAATCCTTCCCCAGGCCCGGACTGAAGAGCAAGCTGACTGCACCCGCTAAAGCAGACACGGGCCTGCAGAACAAGACATTCCACTGTGAAGCCTGCGACGTGCGCGTCAATTCAGAGACGCAGCTCAAGCAGGTGAGCGCCGAACTTCATTTGACTGTCACTCTGAAAGCCAAAGCGCAGCATGATGTGGCAGCATTACATAGGCAGCATCAAAAGCATCGCTGCATGGATTTCAGTAAAATAATGTCAAAATCTCATTTGACTACAGATATTATTTGTGAGATTTCATTTATAAAGTAACTCTAATGTTGTCAGTCTACTGGAGGATTTTAAGGTTTGTAAGATTTTAGTGAAATATTGTTTACTATTTTACTAAAATAATAGTAATAATTGCCTATTTTTGATGTAGGGTACCTGCTTTAAAGCAGTGGTTAAACCATTTATTTTATGGAGATGGAAAGATTAAAAAGTTTTTAAAAAATTGCTTTTTGAAGAAAGATGTGAGAAATTCCATGTAATAAATGAAAGCATACAATAAGTATTAATTAGTATTATTTGTTGTTGTTGTTATCGCTATTATTGTTGTTATAAATTATTATAATGATATATATACAGTCATGTGAAAACGTTAGGACATCCTGTTGAATTCCACGGTTTTCTGTATCAGGACATGTAAAAAAAAATGTATCTGGTCCTTGGCAGGTCTTAAAGTTTGGAAAATAAAACCTCAGATGAACAACAACACATGACATATTGCACCATGATAAAATGGTGAAATTGATAATCAAATGATATTGATAGATAGATAGATAGATAGATAGATAGACAGATAGATAGAAATTGATAGATTTTTATTTTAAGATTTTAAGATTTTAATTTTTTTTAAATAAGGAAAATAATTACTTTAATTAGTTGTGTAGTTGTGTATATGTAGATATATAAAAATGATTTCTGTAATTTTGTGGAGGATATAAATATCCACCATCCATACAATATTAAACAATATTAAAAATAAATAAATCATAGTGAAACATAAATCAAAATCATTCAACATCATTCAGTCTAAATAAATAATAAAGGATGGAATATTCTGCTTTGGTGCCGCTAATAGCAGTGGTTTGTTTTGCTATAAATGCTCGTGGCAAATAATCTGCAGTGCAAATTGTATTTTAATTTGGTATGAAAAGTTCATAACAGCATTAAACGCTGTTATAGAATCTGTAAACGGTGTCTGTCAGCTCATCACATCTGTGTCACATTCTGTGTTTGTATCGTCAGCATATCAGCAGCAGACGCCATAAAGACAGAGCTGCAGGGAAACCAGACAAACCCAAGTACAGTCCTTACCCCAAAACCCAAAGAGGAGCCGCCAAACAGACAGTAGGTTCCTGCTTCCTTAACAATACCTGGAGAAAAATATTATTCAGCAACCTTGTTCATTTCAATAGAAATGGAAAACTATAACGGCGGTTCTGTTTTGTGATGCTAGTGGTGGTGCAAAAATAATGGGGTCAGCCCAGACTGTTTCAAAATCAGATGTTGCATGATGGAGTGATGCCATATTTAATAACAACAACATGAAATTATTTCACAATACATTGATCTTTCACGATGTGACACATTTCAGAGTGGAAAACTGTTCAGTGGAAATAATGAATAGCAGGACTTCATTAGTGTATAGATTATTAGAGGGCCGTATGATCTTTTAATGTTTTAATATTATATATATATATATACATATATATATATATTTTTTTTCATTGATCATTATAGAAGTATTATAGTAATATTTAAAAAATTTAAAAATGACTTTATATATATATATAGCAGGACTTCATTAGTGTATAGATTATGTGTTGGTGGTTCATATACATTTTTAGATATTAAATAATTGTAAAAAATTATTATAGGGTCGTATGATCTTTTAATGTTTATGAACGAATTATGAAAACTAAAAACAGTAATATTGTGAAACATTATTACAATTTAACATATCTGGTTTATATCTGAATATATATTTTTTTTTTTTTGAAGATTCTTTGATGAATAGAAAGAAAGAACAGCTTTTATTCAAAAGAGAAATCTTTTGTAATAACTTTTGATCACACTTTTGACCCCAAACTTTTGAACAGCAATGTAGTTTATTAGTGTGCTATCAGCACCTGTTTGACTCGTGTATGTTAGCAGGGAAAGTTATTTCAGAGACCGAGGAAACCATTATGTTTTGATGAGCACTTATCAAAACTATTTTTTCCTTTCGAATAACACATCCTGATGAATTATACACATCCAGACCGTTTATTAAAGCGATAGTTTGCCCAAAAATGAAAATTCTGTCATTGTTTACTCACCATCATGTCGTTCCAAACCCGCACGCTGATATTTTTTCCGCTTTCTTGCAACAACAGCTGATAGTGACCACATCTGTCAAGCTCACTGTGAACACAAATGAGATTTCAAAGATTTTCTGTGAGTGATTTGAATTTCAGTCTGTTCCTCAAACAAAATCTATCATATGACTTCAGACGTTTGGGAAGATAACGCAGAGTTATGTGGACTACTGTTGTGGTGCTTGCGGTCACTCTGAACCGTTGTTGTATTGAAACTGTTTGGTGTTCCACGGAAACGAACAACCACATATGGGTCTGGAGCAACATCAACATAGTGAGCTATCGCTGGAATCGCATAGCATTGTAGGGTATAACTGCAATACAACGCATTTGACTACAGGTTTTACTAATGAAATTGAATCTGCACACAAAAATAAAGGCCGATGCTCAATTATTCCATTGAGGCCACAAAATTAGTACAAAGAAAGTGTCAAGTGCAAAATGTTTTTGAGTTCAATCCTAAATCAGCGGTACTTTTTTTGTACTTGCGGACTTGATGGAATACATCTACATGAGCTTTGGCCTATATTTTTGTGTGCATATCCTTCTTTCCTTTTCTTTTATATTTATTATTTATATTTTTTATTGTTAATAATGAAATAAGAAATGAAAGTTATTATGGAATTTATTTCTGTCACTGTGAAAAACAACACATTAAATATATATGGTGCAATTACATTTAATAAATGATACATCTACATGAGCTTTGGCCTATATTTTTGTGTGCATATCCTTCTTTCCTTTTCTTTTATATTTATTATTTATATTTTTTATTGTTAATAATGAAATAAGAAATGAAAGTTATTATGGAATTTATTTCTGTCACTGTGAAAAACAACACATTAATATATATGGTGCAATTACATTTAATAAATGAACATATACAATAATTTTGAATTATTATTATTAAAATAATTATATTGTTAAAATTATAATTTGGTGTGTGTGTGTATATATATAGCCGTCCCACCTGGCAGCTGTCGCCGCCGCGATCGCCGCTGTTGGCTCCGCCTTCCCGCTGCGTGCCTGCCATAACCCCGCCCTCTTTCAGACTCAGTCCCTCCCCGCCGCGCTGCTCCGCCCTGCACCGGGGCCAATCAGGACTGCTCACACGCCTGTACTGTTTGCCCCTTATTGACCTTTGAACTATGACCTCTGGGGGATCGGATCATTAACCCCTCCTTCACCTCATACCCAGATCCAATGCGTGATATCGCAATAATTTAAAGACAAAAAACTAACCAGGTAACTATGCATCATCATTTACTTGTGACACACTGACGTTAAGCTATAAATGTATTGGTGGAGATTTGATTTTTGTTTTTTTTCTGTATGGAAACCATGATTCATCATTATCATCGCTTAGAGTACAAGACTGATTTGTAAATTTAAGGTGAGTTTGGGAACACAGAGATGTTAATAATGGGTGAAATAAAAAGTTGTATTTCTCTGCTGTTTTGCACTTTAAGTCTTTCTGTTGTTGATTTCAGTGCTTTAGATGTCAAGATCCCTTCCTGTTTCCAGCTGTTGGTGTAACAGGTCAGCAGTGCTTCATTTGTCAATGGACCCATTTCACATTTCTGTGGTTCTCAGAAACAGAAGTCATCATAAACTTCTATAGTGGAGAATGGAATCTACAACAAATATCATTTTTGGGTTCCCATTAGCTTCAATAGAAAAAGTAGCATTTCTATGACTTCACAAAAGAGGAAGAAATATCTATTCATATATCATATCAGCATAATCATATCAAAAATTCATATATCAAATATCTACATAATCAATTACGCTGGTCAGAAAAGAGAAATATGTCAAATTTGCCACCACTCCCTCAAAAAATATACTTTGAAACTATTTTCACTCTGAAATTGCTCATTTATTTTCCAAAATTAAGAATGTATTATTAATCATACATTAATTCGACAAAAATAATTGTAATTGTTGTCTGTTCTTAATAAATTAAGTAATGAAAAATTTGCCATCACTTCCTCAAAAAATTACTTTGAAACAATTTTCACTCAGAAATTGCTAGTAAATTTCACAAATAAAGAAACACCAGTTACCACATTGAATTAAATGTGAAATTTCCAAGTAGAAAAACTAAAAAACTTTAATGCAGAGGTAAAAAAAAAAGAAGCAAAGTATAGTGTTATAAATGTACATGAAAATATTAAAAATACTTTGCTAGTTTTACCATGTTAATAACTCTGGAAATGCATCTGTGAAAAGGGTCCATTAAGACATAATGGAATAAGATATTGGTGATGGATCTGGCAGGTTTAAATGTGCATTTTATACAGTTACAGCTTAAGAAGTTTCAGCTAATAACTTGAGCTGAAAAATGTCATGTGACTGATCATGCTCGAGCAGGGAAATTGTCATGTTAATTCTGATGTTGATGTTAGGAATGTTAAGGCTGCTGACGTCAAAGACGGTCAAATAAAAGTTAATTTCACAGTTTTAAGGCCCTCCAAAAATGGTCAGTGTTTGCAGTCCAGTTCCAGATCCAGATCCAGCTTTTTCCAATACAAATTAAGCCCTGTTATACCTGTTTGTGAATATGTGTGTGTGTGTGTACAGCAGAACTTGGGGGAAGATAAGTGGATGATTTCCAAAGTAAAATGCTGCTGATTCATGTCAAAGCAAGGTTAAAAATATAGTGGGATGTTTGCTAAACAGATGAATATGTAAATGTGCAGGAGTGTGTTTGCGCGTGAGTGTGTATGTTGGGGTGAGTTAGCGGGCTTTTCACCTGAAGTCGTCCCTGGAAACATCTCATGAATATTACATGAGCTACTGGGGCCACAAAGCTTGTCTGTCACTTCTTGCAATGTGAAAAACGATAAACATTTTCAAATAAAGAATCCTGCTTTGTTAACTTGCTTGTTTGAAAAAAAAGAGAATGTACATATATATACACACACACTACCCTTCAAAAGTTTGGGGTCAGATATATATTTTTAAAGAAATTAATACTTTTGAACAAGGACACATTAAATTAAAAGTGATAGTAAAGACATTTATAATGCTACAAAAGATTTTTATTTTAAATAAACACTGTTTTTATTCATTCAAAGAATCATGAATTAAAAAAATTATCATGGAAAAAAAATATTAAGCAACAAAAACTTGTTTTAGACCAGCATATCAGAATGATTTCTGAAGGATCATGTGACACTGAAGACTGGAGTAATGATGCTGAAAATTCAGCTTTGATCACAGAAATAAATTACATTTTACAATATATTCAAATGTAAACAGCTATTTTAAATTGTAATAATATTTCAAAATATTGCTGTTTTTACTGTATTTTGGATCAAATAAATTAAGCTTGGTGAGCAGAACCTAAACTTTTGAACACTGAATTTGTTTAAAGGAATATTTTCTTCAAAATTAAGATACATTACTCAGCTTTCTGCCGTCCCAAATTCACAGTATTTTCTTTCTTCTTTGAAACACAAGGAGAAATATAGGATATCTAACTAGACTATCTAAACTTCTGTTTTCCGTAAACCCCTTAAAGGAATAGTTCACCCAAGAGTGAAAATTTGTTGAAAATGTTCTCACACTCAGGTCATCCAAAGATGAGTGTGTTTCTTCATGAGAACAGATTTGGAGAAATGTAGCATTCCATTACTTGCTCACCAATGGATCCTCTGCAGTGAATGGGTGCCGTCCGAATTGTTCCTCCTTATTTTCACAGCTTTTTGCTTCTCGTTTCACAAGACATTATTTGATGGACTGGAGTGGTGTGGATTACTTGTGGATTATTGTGATGTATTTATCAGCTGTTTGGACTCTCATTCTGATGGCACCCATTCACTGCAGAGCATCCATTGGGGAATTTCTCCAAATCTGATGAAGAAACAAACACATCTTCATCTTGCATGGAAGAGTACATTTTCAGTTTTGGGTGAACTATTCCTTTAAAAGTCTCATAAAAGTAGTCCATGCGTTTATTCCAAGTCTTCTTAAGTCATATGATCACTTTGTGTGAGAAACAAACCCAAAATTTGGTTGTTAGGGTCATTTTTTTCCTGTGCATTTTAAAATTTGCAATCATGTATGTAACACTAGAGAACCAACCATGTTTGCCATCAAACGTCGACCTCACCGTCATCCTTGGTTGTATGGAAAAACAAAGCTCAGACATTTTGCAGATAATTTCTTTTCATGTTTCACAGAAGAAAGAACCGACAGGGTTGAAACGACCCGAGGGTGAGTATATATGACAAAATGATCGTTTCGAGGGTGAACTATTGCTTTAATG